GTTCAGTGCAAATTAAAAACCAGTCAAAAAGTCATTGCAGGGCCCCTTTAAGTCGACGCTCCTTTACTCCTACTCCGACGCTCCGAGTTTCATACTCCGAGCGCAGCACCTAAACGCCGCATAGCGTACAGGAGCGCGACGAGCGCGACCAGCGCGACCACTGATCTCTATGACAATTGCTGGATCGCGCTTGCCCGCTTGTTCGCTGCAGCGGAAGTGAAGCCACCGGACTTCACTCGCTTGGGATACGATTTGCCGTTTTTGCTAGCCTTTGCTGCGGTTTTCCAGCGTGCTGTAGACACGTTTTCTACTCGTTCGTCGTCATTCGCCGAGGAAGTTTTTTGAAGACTCTGTGTATTGTTGAGACTTGCCGTTGTGAACACGTGGAAAATTTTACGAAAGTGCAGTGTCGCAGGAAAAAGGCACAACGCGTCGAAAGGAAGGGCTGGCGGCGTGTTCAAAGCTTCCTTGGCACGCCGAAGTGCCGTGTCTCTGTGCCTTCGCACGCTTGGATACCGACCAAGAACCGACGCCGTGTGTATGTGCTCAGCGAGTGCAATGTGCGTGAAGCTGTTCGTGCCTCTGGATCAGCGTCTTTTCCCCTCGCGGTTTAGGAACGAGCTTAATCCAGCGTCCACTAGCGACGGAAGATGGGGAGAAGGTACGTCTTTTTTTCGTCCTTAGACGATTTACACAATACCGTACACAACAGCTCCTCATCACTGCTCAGTGCTGGCTTATTATCAACCTACTTAATTGCACTTGACGTTTGAGCGCGGCTCGCCTAATTGTAATTGGTCAACAGATTGCACACGACCATATCGGCCGCGCTTCAAAGATTTTCATTCTCGCCGTCTTGTACTTCTGCTTTCGAAAACCCCCCTGGCTCCACAACGTTGCCCTATTCGTGCTCCCACGGAATCTATTAGAGTAGATTTGGGACATAGCCATGGTTAATATAGTACATAAGAACACGTACAGATCTCCCCCTTTTATTGATTGCAACTCACCGGAACAGCTGGACGATCCAGAACTCCGTGGCCGATATATATAAATGATCTAAAGGCATCTACGCGCGACACATGTTCAGAACTTTGGCGCGGCGTCAATTCTTGACCGGTATCCAAGCGTGCGAAGGCACAAAGATGCATCACTCGGCGTGCCAAGGAAGCTTTGATCACGCCGCGACACCGGCGACACGTTTTCGACGAGTTGTACCTTTTGATACGGCTTCACGCACATTGCACTCGCTAAACACATTCACACGGCGTCGGTTCTTGGTCGGTATCCAAGCGCGCGAAGGCACAGAGACACGGCACTTCGGCGTGCCAAGGAAGCTTTGAACACGCCGCCAGCCCTTCCTTTCGACGCGTTGTGCCTTTTTCCTGCGACACTGCACTTTCGTAAAATTTTCCACGTGTTCACAACGGCAAGTCTCAACAATACACAGAGTCTTCAAAAAACTTCTTCGGCGAATGACGACGAACGAGTAGAAAACGTGTCGTCAGCACGCTGGAAAACCGCAGCAAAGGCTAGCAAAAACGGCAAATCGTATCCCAAGCGAGTGAAGCCCGGTGGCTTCACTTGCGGGAGCGGCAAGCGCGATCCAACAATTGTCATTGAGATCAGTGTTCCGGTCCATAGGAGGAGCTGGTCAAACGCGATCCAGCAAATAGACATAGAGATCAGTGGGTTCGACTTTGTTTTGTGTTGTGGACAGTGTGGCCAGACCTTGATACAAGTATGTCTAGGTTTGGAGAATTGTTTTTTTATGCAAAGAGTTATTTTATTTTGTGAACAGCTGCAATTGAAAGAAACTAATTCTATTCACTGAAGAAGTTAATAACTTAAAATTTAGTACTGTATTGACTGAATTAACTGATCAGCGCTGCACTTAATTCATCTCTTAGCCATTACCATCCAATCCGAAGCCAACTGGCAAACCTGTCGCGCATGCGCACACGAGTCGAACCTCCATACAAGTATGGTGCCTGGATCGCGTCTTCGACTGGTGTGTTTAGCGTCCTATCCCGCCCATACATCAAAAGTGGTCCCAATGTGGCAACAAATGACGCGAGTGTCATGCTGTTGCCTGTCGCGATCCTGGCGGTTGGCCGTAGAAATGCTGGCGAAAAGCACGAGCGAACGCGAGTGTCGCTTTCGCCATGGCGTCCCTTTAGGCGTCCCAACTTCCGGCTGCTCCAGCTTCCGTGGACTGTCACAGTGGAAAGCGACCTGCAGCAGAACAGGCGTCTGCCACTTATACCACAACTGTTGGGGCGCCGCCAGGGTCGCAACAGGCGACAACATGACACTTCTATGACGTCATCAGGCGGAAATCGAGGGACCACTTTTTTGAACCCGGTAAACACACCAGTCGGAGACGCGTTCCAGGCACCATAATACAAGGTCGACGAACTTTTCACTAAAAGTTCGAAAAAGTCGAACCTGGTCGAACTCGAACCGCGGCCGGTTCGCGACACCCCTACTTCCGACCGTAAATACGGGTGGCAGAAGCCGAAAATATTTCGAAGGTAGATAGTTAGGCACGTGTGGATCGGCAAAGTCAAAAGCAAAAGAGACGGCGACGTTATGAAGTTTCTACAAACGTTTTAATATTCCTGAAAGGTTTGAAGACTCGCTTCGTGCATATATGTGGAAGGTTACCTGTCCAATCTATTTATTGACCATGCATGCTGTGCCGATTTAAATTAAAGACAACATTCTTGAACCGGCTCGTCGACGCAGAAAACCCTCCAATTTGTCAGAGATTCCCTGGTTCCGTAGGTTCCGTCTCGCAGCGAGACGGAAGCTAGCGATACCGGCACACCGTCGTTCGATTGCATGTCAATTCGTTTTTAGGCGGTATGCATGAACAAACCTTTCCCGCCACGCCAACTGGTGTTTCGGCTTTCCAATCTCAGTATCTCTATTCGCTGACGCTGGCATTCTAAGCACGTCAGCGGTCTGGCTGTCTTTTCATCACAACTTTTCTGTTGCCGAGCTATAGGCACGCGAACAAACCTTTTCCTCAACGCTCACTGATGTTTCGGCTTTCAAATCGAAGTATCTCTATTCGCTGGGCTAAGCATTAAAAGGGACAGAGCGGTTCGAATGTCTCCGCATCTTGATAACTTTTCTGTCGCTGTGCAATCGGCCCGCTACCGTTTGATAGTTGAATTCCTTTTTCATGCGAGATGCACGAACAAACCTTTTTCGGAACGCTAATTGCTGTCTTGACTTTCAAATCAAGTCGTTTTTATCCGCTGGATTAAGCACTAATCAACTGAAAAGGGGCAGCGGTCCGGCTACGCCTTTTCGTCTCGACGGTCTCGACAGCAGCGCAGCCATCTTGTTTGTTTACTTGACGTCACGGAGCGCGAAGTCAGTCGGGCTCCGTAAAATTCTCGGTGCACGAAGAGCGCGCTCGAGTGTCAGTCTCCGGTGGCACTCCTGTCCGTTTAGTGAAAGGAGCACCAAACTTTCGCGCTCCGGAGCACGGAGTTTAACGCGCCTGCCCAAGTAGCACTAAACGTAGCCACAATGTTACTGGAATGTTGTCAGGTAACGTTGCCGAACGTTGCTAACGACCGCGGATTCTACCGTCCAGTAACGTTACACCACAATGTTACAGTAACGTAACTGCATACGTTACCTGGACATTACCCAAATAATGTTACTGGAACGTTGTTAGATAACGTTGCCAAACGTTGCTAATGGCCACCAGTTCTACCTCCCAGTAACGTCGCATCAAAATGTTGCAGTAACGTAGCTCTCTACGTTACCTGGACGTTAGATCAGTGATGTTACTCGGACGTCGTCAGCTAACGTTGCCAATTGTTGTTAATGGCCACGAATTCTACCATCCAGTAATGTTACACCAAAATGTTGCACTGACATTACGGCTTACTTAAAAGTGAAGGAATAAAAACTCGAAGAACATGCACAAACTAGCACTCTTTCATTTCGCAACATTTATTTTTTCAGGAGCAAAGAGTCGCACACAGGTCGAGATCAACTAGATACCGAAGGCGGGAGGGAAGAGGGGGATAGGGAGATAAGGGCCAGAACTGGAAAAATCTGGGAACCTTGACTAAAACACATGGAGTGTCACTGACTCAACCCTTATCTTCCTGAAGTTCCCTCGATCCAGCCTTCCATTTGCAGTTAATCTTGACCTGTGTGCGAGTCTTTGCTTCCAAAAAACAAGCGTCATAACTAAATGGAAGAGCGGTCATCTGTGTTTGTCCTCAGTGCTTTTATTCTGTCAACTTTCAGTAAACATTTTAACAAAATGCTGGCACTGGCCAGATATTACTGCATGTGTTACTTGGACATTATTGAACAATGTTACCCAAAAATTACTAACATTGACAAGCGTTGCCAGGAAACTGCATATATGGTTGTCATGAAGTCATTTTTTGAGCTGGTGCCTGATATGAGTAAATGGATGAGCATTACAGGCCATTAATGAATCAGCATTTTGAAGTCCTAGAAGCAAGACTCCGGAAGAAAACAAGAGGTTATTGGAATAAATTTATTTCAAAAACGAAACAAACGTTACAAGTACCAGTGTATTCTTCTGTTTCTTACAAGCTATTAGATCTACAAAATTGTAAAGAACACACTAAATTACAAGGCTGATCTGCATGGAAATAAAAATGCAAAATATTAAAATTCCCAGAAACATAAAGCAAGCAGCTTGAAATAAAATTCTAAATATATCTCAAACTACACCCGATCTTGGGCTAGGACATATAAATAAATAATGGAGGCAATAAACCAGAAAGGACTAGAAAAAGAACATAGATTTTAAAACTTGTAAAAATACCATACTAATGTGTACATAAATTAAATAAAAGAAACCACTAGCTAGGGCTAAAATGTATACATGAATAGAAATAAAAGGTAACATACGCATATTAAAAATTGCCATAAAAAATTCAAACAACAGGCACTCACTCATGGGATGGTTGTAAAAAAAAAGTTATGAATTTAACACGGTTAACCAATTCCATGCTTCCAACAGGGATCAAAGTAACCAACTACAGACATTTAAAACTATAACAGAAAAATCAAGGCAGAAACATGCTGAAAAACAGTGCAAAATGCACGGATAAGAGAACACACAGGACAAGGTGCTGTGTGTTCTTTTCTCTTTGTCTGGTTTTTGCACCGTTTTTCAACATCAATTCTTACCAACTAGCCCAGCCCAACTGTCCATTCTTGTAATCAGAAACATGCTTGCCTTCTCCCCTTGTGGCAGCCCCTCAGTCACTCCTGGGAAGAGGCACGCTGCTCCTGCAAAAAAATAAAACAAAAAAGTTGGTTGCGTTCAGATAATGGGTGCCTATTTCAGTGCAGAGAGTGTCATCAAGATAAAAAAAAATGCCTACCTCTGTCCTAACACAGTTTCGCCTCAGTTTCTTTGCATGCACAAGCCATTCTTTTCATCCAGTTTAGACCTTTTCCGCAAAGTGTGACCTACCCACAAGGAGTGATGCGCCTGCTCAAGCATGTTTTGATGGCTGAGCACTGGCAACACGTTCGGCCAACAACCTGATATGGCAGTCCCACAGAAAACCATGCCATGTGTCTGATTCTCACTCTCCTTCTAGGCCTTTTTCAACTTTTTTACACTGAAGCATAAAAAGCTACCTGCTAGCAAAACAAACTCTCTAGCTAGCTGAAGCCTAACGTGGACCTAATGATAACATGCTAGAAAGATTTTTAGGCAGTAATTGGGGGCCCTGTCCAGAAGGGTGTACCTCTCCCCCCTCCCTCCGAGCGGCGTCGCCGTCGGCGTAACTGTGAGGTCACGTGACCCTCCTGAAGGGGGGTAATGTGACATCGGGAGGTCACGTGACCCCGCGGGGACGTTTCGGCACGGTGCCGGAACGTCGCCGCGGTTACGGCGACGGCGACACCGCTCAAGCCGAAAACGGGCGCCTAAGAGCTGCGCTGTAAAAGAAACACCAAAACAGCAGGTGCTCAATAAACAATATGGATACCATTCACTATCACAATTGCGGCTAACCAAGCTGAGGCTAATCACATAAAATAAAAAATCTAAAAGCTAGAAAGCGTTAAGAAATTGTAGCAACAAAAAGCAAACATACACGTGTGCGTTTTTGCTTGGGCACTGGTGCACGTTCTGGAAGTTGAGGGGCTGGCTGAGTGCTAGGTCGTTCCTGCAGAAGAGGCAAGCTTGACGGAAAAGGAGCAGTCTCTTCCTTTTTCTTTTCTCCCGCTCTTCATTATTCGTTGATAGGTCGGACGTCGCTTCCGGATTTTTTTTCTTTGAACTTTGCATCTTCATATGTCACTGAAACAAGAAAGCCGAGCACACCAGTCAAATGTTTAACCACCACAAGCTCGTTTGCGCCCTAACCTTTTGTTCATTAAATCAAATATGTTCGCATTATGCTTAGACAGTTTTTAGGTTAAAGCCTGCCAACTTTTTCGGGCTCATGTATATAATCGGTCAGGATCGGGCCAAGCTCAGGCTTATATTAAACAAAACAAATATTTTGTCGGGCTTGGGCCGGGCACAAGTTTCTGTCTAAAATTTTGCCGGGTCCGGGCCGGGCCCGAGCCGTGTCTCTTCAAGGCCAAGTCTGGCCGGGCCTGGAAATGAAATATTCTATCGGGCTCGGGCCGGGCCTAGAAATTCTGGCTCGTGCAGTGCTCTAGCACACTCTACATTAGGTGAGCAGAGCCTATTTCTCTGCCCCAAGGCTCTCAACTCCTTGCTCAGGGCACTCAATGGCATTTCTGGCTCGTTTTCCTTGACTGGGCTCGCTTTTTGACAATATCCCTGATTTTTCCCGGTAATTAAAATATTCCTGACTATTCCCGGTTGCTAGACACCCGCTATACTTACAACATGATGCCATCACCTGACAGGAGAATGTGGCCCAGTCAGTAAAGGGCTCTTCACGCTCTCAATTACCATCATCAACCGATTTGATCTGTAGGGTGGCCATGCCGTGCGGCCATTGCACACCCAACAGGTAGGAACAACTGCAACATCATTTTCCGCCAAAAAATGGACCACAGAGTACATTTCCTGAAATCAACAAATAAAGCAACAAATAAATGGACAACAGAGTACATTTCCTGAAATCAACAAATCAAGCCTGTATTACCTCAAAGGCCACTCATAAGCCACGAAAAATACAGTTTTCGAATGAAGCACAACCAATGTGCAACGGTTGCAAACATTGATCCCACTTGCAAGTGAAGTAGAAGAAAAACTGCATAGCCCTGGTTATATTGCAAGCAGACGCACTTCCACCTGATGTCCTGCACACTCCACACTGAATACTACTTGGAGAGCCCTGTAGCTCTAAAAATTCCTAGCTCTGACGATGGCAACTTTGAAGTATAAAGGTTGCTGAGATTCCGGAAAAACTGTCCGCAGATGCTACGGTTCCCATCCGACTCAATGAAGGATGGATGGATGGATGTTAATGGCTATTGCCTTTGTAACGGGCGGTAGCTTGCGCCACCTAGCCCAAGTCTAAAAAGACAAAAACGTGATTCCTCCCGCCCTTTTAAGACCAATTTTTCTCCCCCTAACTATCACCAGGCAGTGTGGGATATCACCAGGATGACCTTCGGGGGATCGGGCAAAAAAAACTAAAAAACATCACCCCCCTGCCTCTTCCCCCCGGCGAGGGAGTCGCCAATTTTCCTCTGGTCAAACCTTTTTGGCGTTACCCCAGCACACGACCCACTGGGAGACAGGGTTGAGACTTTGGGCCGGAGCCACGCGGGAGGGAGTCCCAATTTTCCTCTGTCCCAACTGTTCCCAGCTGTGCTAGTTAGTTGTCCATCATTTAATTTTCCCTAGATAATTTCCACCAATCTTCTAATCGTCTCTTTGTCACTGTAATCTTTTTCTCTACCATCCCTCCATCGTCGCCAGTGAAACCCAGGGCCCCAGCCAAATCCGTTACCCCTTCAGGGAGGGCAGGACGAAGCCCCGTGCACTTCAAAACCAAGTGCTCCAGTGTCTCGCTATCATTATGGCAGGCGGCACATGATGTGTCGGTCTTCTGAAATTTAGCCCTATACGTCCTCGTCCTCAAAACTCCCGTTCTTGCCTCGAACAGCAAAGCACTTCCCAGTGAATTGTCAAAAAGCTTTTCCTTTCTTATCTCCTGCTTTCGTGACCTGTACACTGCTAAAGCTGATTTCTCCTGCATTCTCCCCTCCCACATTTTCCTCTCCGCCTCTTTTACCTTCTTTTTCACTGACGTAGTCTGTTCAGCCCCATCACCAGTGTGTAGATATTTAAATGTAAGCTTTCGGGTTCGGTTCGTCCATTTTGTGTTTAAACTTTTCATGTATAAATACTTGAATACCTTACGTGCCCACCGCGTATCCTCCATTTCAGTCAACCTTTGTTCAAATTTCAACTTACTAATTGCCTCCCTGCTCTCAAAAGACGACCATCCCATGTCCCCCTGTACTCCCTCATTTGGTGTTTTTCCATGTGCTCCCAGCGCCAATCTGCCTACGCTTCTTTGTCGAATTTCTAGCCCTGATTGAACCTCAGATTCCATGCACAGCACTGCATTGCCAAAAGACAGTCCTGGCACCATCACTCCCTTCCATATACCTCTGACCACTTCATATCTGTTATAGTTCCATAGTGCCTTGAGCTTCATAATAGATGAATTTCTTTTCCCTTTTCTAATTGTATTCTCCTCGTGTTCCTCTAGATATTTCCTTCCCTCATTGAGCCGGACCCCTAGATATTTGTACTTTTCTACGTGTTCTATCACTGTGTCCTGTATCTCCAGGGGTTCCCCCTTCTCATCGTTGAAAACTATTATACCCGACTTGTCTCTACTGAATTTTAGTCCTAAACTGTCCCCTTCCCTGCTGCAAATCCTAATCAGTTCCTGTATTGTCTCACGGCTTTCTGATACGAGTACAATGTCATCTGCATACATTAACCCTGGCAATAGTTGATTTACCTTATGTCCTTCCTCCATGTAATTCAGGTCAAAACCTAGGTTGCACTGTTCTAACCTTTTTCCATCCCACTGAGGTATATCATAAAGAGCAGGGGAGACAATGGGCAACCCTGTCTAAGTCCTCTTTTTATTGCTGCTGGTTTTGTAGTTTCGGCTTCCCATTTCATAATCACCCTATTCTCCGTATAAACCCGTTCAGGAACTTAACCGTGGTTCTCCCTAGGCCATACCCTTTTAGCTGTTCCCAAAGATATTCCTGATTCACATTGTCATATGCCCCTTTGATGTCCAAAAATGCTACCCATAATGGCCTTTGGCTTGTCATTGCTATCTCTATGCATCTCTATGAAGTTGGGTCGTCATAGCACTGCTGAGCTTTATGAAGTGTGCATAAAAGCGCTTTTCCAAATGGTTTCTGAGGAGCACTGGCCCGGGGAATAAAGGAAAGGGGATTTTGAAGACGGGGGAGGTAACGCGGGGAATTCGCAGCGGGGATTTTGACACAGGTGTTTTGAGATTAGGTTATTTCGTGCACCACCCGTATCGCTCGTCTCAGATTCGCACTCGGAAGCTCGTTGGTACTCAAACTCTCCGGAAAAACTTGCATGTGATGCCACGGCCTGTTGTCCAGGTGGCAGAGGGAATGCTTCCTCAGTGTCCACCGACTCCTCACTGCTCGTATCCCAAATTTCGCTTCGACCTTGCTTGGCTTGAGCTACTTGCACATCTTGGCTGCATCTTGGCGTCTTGGCTTGTCAACAGTGTGAGTAAACGACTCAAAAACGACTAAACATGAAGTGTCAAGTAGGAATAAACTCTGGAAATTTATCTGACAGTTCTAAATTAAGTTTTCTTTAAGAATTATAAAACATAAGATTGGTTGGAGAAATTGGAAATTAGTATAAGCCGTACAGCCATAACCGTAAAGCCGTACCTGTGCAATCATGGTGGACGGTGGTGATGTGGTGATCTTGCAACGCCTTGGAGTGAATCAGTGGATGACCTCGACCGTAATATCGGTAATGATAGTGAGCTGTTAACGTCGAAACGGTAGTACCGTAGCTATGCGACTGTGCTGTGCCATTGTGATGTGTCCAGATAACAAATGTAGGCAAAGAGTGGTCCACGCAGAGCGAGCTTCGAAGCCTCAAACTCAAATATTGGAGCTTTATGTCCCGAGATGGTTTGGTTTTGTTCTGACCACTTGTGTCGACAGCTCTTTGTCTAGAAGTGAACGAGGACTAACTATGTGTGTGCGATTATACTCGTTTCATTTTAATTGCGAGCGAAGCAGAAGCACACGAGTGACGCACAGCCGCCCGTGCGCTGGAAATATTGTTCATCAACAATAGTATGCGCTATCATCATCACTCACTCGTCCGCGCGCTTCACTTCTCTTCTTTTACGGTAATGGCCGTGCATGGCCCTTTCGGCCATTCATTTTGAGTGGTCGGCGGAGTGCGTCCGTGTATCCGTGGCCCTTGATGCTGGATCTCCTTCCTACCTGCCCCCCCCCCCCCCCTCTCTCTCCTCAATCACTTTTCTTTCACCTCACCCCATTCCCGTCCCATCTCTCCTATGTTGCCTTTCCTAACCTTTCCCTCCTCATTTCCTCGCATGATTTAATGCCAGCGGCCCCTCGCTCCCCCTCCCCTACCTCCATAGGATTTTATGTTCGTTGCCTTTAAGCTTTGATCTCGACTTCGGACCCTTGACTGCACCTCCTCGCCATCTCCCCTACTATCTCCTCGGTCTCCTCATTCCTCCCGACCCCTCTTCCTCTACTCTCCCGTCCACCTTCCCCTTCCCGCTACCCATCCACCTCACCTTTCCTCCCCTCTTCCCCCTCCTCTCTCGTTTGAGTGACTTTTTGTTCATGGCCTTTGACCTTTTCTTTTTGGTGGCAGGTGCTTATGGCTCTTCATTTTGAGTGGTCAGGGATGTGTACATGATCTTGACGTTCGTGCAACCGTGGCCGTGACGTAAAACATCACAGCAATACCTGTGATGTTTTACGTCTTACCTGGCCCCACCCCACTTCATCTCCTCATTCCCCTCCACTCCTTCTCCCCCATTGGTCTCATCTTCCCTCTGTGTGCTCTTCCTCCCCTCTTTCCTCTCCTCCGTCCGCTCTTGCTCCTCCCTGCCCCACTTTTCTTCATCTTTCTCTTCATGCTCCCTCAGCTTTTCATGCTTAGTCCCCTTTCCCTTCAGTCTCCTATCTTCCTTGTGTGAGCGTGTGTTTTCGGCCTTCGACCTTCATAATTGACCTCTTTCTTCCTGCCTCTATTCTCCTTCCCATCTCCTCGCTCACCTTCCCCTTCAACCGTCTCCCTTTTCCCCTCCTCCGTCTATGAGACAATGGCTACCGCCAGTCGTCTCACTTGCAGTATGTTGCAATGAGCCGCCACTTTTTGAGTTTTCCGAATAAATATGGTGGTGAGCTGTAAATTGGACTGATATATGAGCTTCCGCATTTAACTATTTAAAATTTTCAACCAGGGTGTATTTTATACTGCACGCTCCAAGATTTCTCTAAATCTCTATGGCAAGCACTGGCGCAGACAACCAAGACAGGGCGAGAGTAAGAACCACCCAATCGCTCGATTTGACCTGAGTCCGTTGTGAAATTAGTCCTCGCTTCTATTTTAAATAGTAGAAATCATTTTGCAGCAAGCTCGGGTCGGATAGAGTAGTCGGTCGACCCCAAGAGCTCTCCGCGACCTGGCCGTATGGTAATCATGTTCATATTTTTCACAGAAACAGAGCTACGCTTCGAATATAATGCAATAGAGCACACCACTAAAATACACCTTTGGTGATAATTTCAGCTAGCTACGTGTTCCAAATTAATTTACAGGCTACCACTCATGCCATCCTATACATGTTCGGGAGGTCTTTGGGTCGTCATGTCACCAGCGTGAGTTTTCCACCTTCGATAACACAATAACACCCCATGACTTCACCCTCTTGATATCTTTAGCATGCGTTCAAAAAGCTGGGCATCCGAATGACCCTAACCTAAAAGCAACAATGAGGGTGCATGCTAGCTCGTGAATATTGAGCAGACTCGCCAATCCGAGACGGGTGAAGGGCCAGGAAGGAAACCAGCTCAAACAGGCAAGTTTTAACAGACTTCTCGACAAGATCTGCTGGTTTGTGTTTTCGTTCGTAGTATGACGAAAACCACAGTAG